TGAGCTTTCTAGATTATGATGGCATAAGAAGATTAGTTCTATTGATTCTATATGTTAGGAACTTGATATGTAGTTAGCATGATAGAGAACTAATTCGGTTTTTGTTTAGAGTTTTGCTGATTATAAGTGTGACGGAGTATGCGGTTTTAGAATCATACTATGGTTCGATGCCTTTCAAAGTGTCACACGTTTTTCTATTCTTCTTTGTTACGTCTTATATTTATTCTTCATGTGCAATTTTGTGCATGTCGGTTGTTTTTCTATAATTTTGGGACCATTGAAACTCGAGGAAATAGTTTTAGCTTTATTCTTTTCATCCATTTTCAATGCACGCTAACAGTACGAGTGGAGCTAGTGCCTAGTTGATGGGTGGAAACGTGCTATCATGTCGTGTTTGTGTTTAACTATGGTATTTCCGTGACATCTGTTTATTTGATCGTAAGTATGATACTAAATCTAAATTTTATATTTTGTGTTCTCCGTGTCGTGTTGTGTCTTGCTCGTTGTGATAATCATGTTATATAATCATTTCGTGTTCGTGTCTTTTGTCATGCCAGCCATCGCCAAGATATTTATTTATTTGGGGAATATGCTTTGTGAAGCATGTTCTATGTTTTGCACATGGACAACAATTAGGTTTTTTTTTTTTTGGAATTGTAGGGAACATCAGAGTTTTGGATGCCAACTAGAATGTCAAACGAGAAGCAGCTTTATGCAACGGAACAAGATTTTCCTTCTGGATTATATTCTGTACTCATTTTTATGGGCATCATGTTTCTTCGGAATTGATAGGGAACATTCAACATGTTGCGAATTTCCCATGTTGACCGTGTTTATTGGTTAATTTTTGGATTTCTCTTGCTTAACACGGGTGGTTCTTTTTCGGCACCCTTTGAATTGTTCTCTAATCATATCAGGTGCCAGTGTCATTTGGATTCGACTTTTGTGTTCCTTCTCAATCTTTCCAGTGGTCCTCACTCGATATTGGGAATGACTTTTTTAGCTTTTATTGATATATATATTTTAACAAGATTGCTTGTGTTTCAAGTTCAACTAGTATGCAGGTGTAGATGAGCCAATGTGTCAAGTTTTCGATTTTTTACATGAATGGGCCTGAGGACAATTATGTATTCTGTAAGGCATGCCTACATGTCTAGGGCTGCAAACGAGTCGAGTCGAACAAGTATGAATTTTTTTTTACCTGCTCGACGATTTATGACGCTTGAGATATACTCGACAAAATAAGACAATCGCTTGAGTTCGATCAAACTCTAGCTTAAGTCAAGCTTTGACTTGAGCGTTTGCGAGCCGCTCGGTTAGTTTGCAGCCCTAGGCATGTCTTTGTAAAGTAAGTAGAATTACCATCAAATGTATTCTTGACTTGTATACACTAGGGGTGTTCACGGTCCGGATTGGTTCGGTTTTAGCCCAAACCATGACCAAATTGGACCTAACGATTAATTTTTTTTTCTTGTCCATGACCCGACCGGTTTTATTTTTTAACCGGCCACAATCCGGACCGCATTGAACGGTCCGATTTGCGATTAATCAGTTAAATTCAAAATCCTTGTTTTCGTCTTCCATTTTTTTTTTTCATTTTGGGCTTAATTGTTATTTTTCAATTATGGGCCCAATAGAGATTATTTGGGCCTAAAAAAAAAACAACAATAAAGAAAAAAAAAAATACACAATTCGTCCGATAAAATAAAAATACAAAAATGATGAATATTAAATTATGCAAATTGAACCCAAATAAGTATTCATTTTTCAGTCACGTATTCATTTCTTAGTCACATCCTTCTTGTTGGGGACTTAGATGAGATGTATAATTTATTTGTTAATGTTTTTTAATATATACTTGGATTGGATGTATTATATATTAGTTATAGTTTTTTATATTTAACGATCCGGTTAAACCGGTAGTTTCCCGCAGGAAATCCGTTAATCGGATTGGTATTCTGGATTTTTAAAAAAATTAACCACCGAATTTTGTAAGGCTTTCTTAATCGACTATTTAATCGATCTGCGGTCCGGATTGACGGTTTTTTTTGGTTAAAACCGGACGGTGAACATCCCTAGTATGCACTAATGTAATAGCTATGGTAGATAAAATTAAGAAGCAAATAAATTAATTTGCTGCTCTAACTTTGTACTTTAGTTAGGTGGATAATAACAAATGTTTGTGGGTTGAAGGATCTAATTTGAGGTATGTCCCGGGTTGAGATTCTTTTCCTTGGCAGGTTGTTTGGTGTTTTCTGTTTTAGCCTATTAATATTCCTACCTATTATAGCCCCCCTAATACAGTTGGAGTTTGGTTGATATATATATTAATTGTTGGAAAAATAGAGTAATTTATATTTAAAAAAAATAAAAAAAAACATGTGAACAAAAAAAAAAAGAAAAAAAAGTGAGTGTACAACAATAGAAAACACGTATTTAAGGAATACGTTTTTTATACAATTTGTATAGAAAATGTATTCGCTAAATACGTTTTTTCATATTTTTTTACAAAAAAAAACGTATTCAGTGAATATGTTTTTACAATTAAAAAAATGGTAAAACGTATTCCTTGAATACGAGATTTTTATTTTGGTACTCAATTGTTTGTGTATTTTTTTTTCACAACTTTTTTTTTAATTTTCTGGTAAAAAATTCTATAGTGCTCTACAATTGTGAATTAATGGAGATAGGTAATTTTTTGAAAGAAAAAAAAAAAACATTACGCATTTACTTACAAATTCCAATTTGTTCTCAAATTATGAAATTTTTATTCTAATAGCAATAATACCAACTTTTACTCTTTGAATACAAATTTTAATTTGTTCACAAATTGCAAATTTTTATTATTTTAATTTCAAATTATAAGTTCATTTTTTGGTTAATAATTCGAATATGATTTATATATGGTTTTATTTTGAATGTCTATTCTTTTTTTATTTCATAACATGAACAAATAAATAATACAGCTATTGTTTCGTTCACACAACTATCTCAGAGAGTTGGGAAATTTGGACAACTCCTTAATTAGGTGTTTATAAGTCTTAAACGTATGTTTGCTGGCTTGTTGGCTTGTTAAATGATGCAGATAGTTTAATAAGTATTATTATTATTATTAACATTATTATTATTATTATTTAGTAGATTGGTTAACAAGTTAGGTTTATGGCTTTATGATGCAGATAGTTTAATAAGTATTATTATTATTATGATTATTATTATTCAATAATCAAACATCTCTTAACAAAGCATAAAAGCCCTTTAAATAAGGCTCCTAAATAAGAAAGAAGTAAAAGCAATCGCCAAATGCAGTAAAAATGATTGGTTATTTGAAAAACAAATTAACTTATTGTTTTCTTCAATTTTTTTATGCATATATTTGTGCAAAATATCTCCTTATAGTTATATATAAATATAGAGTTTCCTGACATAAACTTGTGCTCCGTAATTCTGTTGATTTCTGATGCTTACTAAATGTGTCAATTTTTATGTTTTGAAACAGTTAACATAAATATAGAACACTTGGCTAATCTAAATTATAAATATATTTTTAAAAATTAACAATTTCATATTTGTTTTCAGATTTAATATATGTTATATGAATTAATCAAATTTTGATCGCATTTCATACAACATTGCTAACAATAATGAAAATGTCAATCAATATTAATTTAAAAATAATAAAAAATATAATCGATTCAATTAATTATCAATCAATTCCATTTCATAACACCTACTTTTATACAACGTCCTTCTAATATAAGCAAGGTAACTTTTTAAGAATTATTGTGGGTTTAAATATAAATCATAAATTAGCATTATAAGAAATTAAACCGAATTTTCTCATTTTCATTTTTCTTAATCCAAACTAAGTATGTTTTGTAGTAATTTATCATTATATAAAAAGAATAATATTTTCTTAAAAAAAGCAGGTAAACTACTTAGTCAAATCTCTCTCATCATGAACTACTTTCTATTAGTAGCATATTATTTATTTGTTCCTCAAATCACGCGTAAAGTTAATAATGCCTCCTATTTTAAATAGATGTGGTTTTGAGATGTTGCACATCTAATAAGAATATTTTTTTTGTCAATAATAACCTTATTTAATGAAGATATAGATGAATTTTTGAGAAAAAGATGAAGAGTAATTATGAAAAGACGTGATGTATAGCTACATGAGGTTAATAATGAAAAAATATGTACAAAAGATTCAAAACGATATTTATTTAGCAAATAGTTGATAAAACTAGAATGACATTTAAAAAAAGTAGGAGGGAGTATCATTAATTGAACAGCCTAAAATATTGGTTTTTGTTCCATACACCATTAAATATCGTACAAAAAAATTCCATTAACAGAATCCTATCGCATAAATATCGGCTTTTGTTCCATACACCATTAAAAGAATTAGAATGTACAAATAATCTCATTAATGTATAGGTAACTTCACATCATTTAATAATAATACATAAACTTTTATATACTTTTACATGTTTTTAAAATACCTCACTACTCAAATTAAAGATCTATTTATAATTATTATTTAATATTGTTTACGCGCTTCGGATTGGGGCACGCACTAGTTTTTAATCTAAAAGCGGTGATTATTAAGAAGTATAAAAAAAGAATATAAAGATTGTGATTTTTGTTTTTCATTCAACAGTAATTCAACAATCTTGTGCCTAACCTTCCTCACCTACAATTAATGGCGGAAAAACCTTCTTTACCCACAATAATGGCTGACGCTACTCACAACACACTTATTGAACTAACCCTCTATTTACTATCTCTCTCCTTCTTTCTCTCACACTCAAACACACACATCACTCGAATGACACTGTAATTTGTACTGAGAGGCAGTAGGCAGGGGGTAGTTGGCTTGCAATACTCCACCAAATTGAATTTCTGTTGTAGCCCTTTTTCATCTCCTCCAAATTAAACACCCCTTTTGTACTCTGAAACCCTTTACCCCAAATAATCTCTGAAGGATTCACCGGGCGATGACGCCTCCCCGCATACTCGCCGGCATCTTCCTTCTCCTGGCGGTTTACTGCGCCGTCGACCCGTTTAACCACTCGGCGATGTCTGAATTCCCGAACTTCGAAACGGTTAAGGTCGAAATGCCGGCATGGTCCGAGCTCCCGATAGAGAAAGACCACGAGAACCTGCTTCAGAAATCGGAAATCAAGTTTTTGAACGAGTTGCAGGGGCCCGAGAGCATGGCGTTCGACCCGATGGGCCGCGGCCCGTATACTGGGGTTGCTGATGGGAGGATTGTGTTCTGGGATGGGCACAAGTGGAATGATTTTGCGTACACTTCAGCTAATCGGTGAGGCTGAAAAAAGAATTCTTTTTGTGTCCGTTTTTGTGTGTTTTTGCTTTTGGGTTTTCGTTCTGACTTTGAAGTTTGGATGAATGCTTTGGATTTTATTATCATCTGTAATTTTAACCGTCTTACGATTATTGTATGACTTTGCCTTATGTTTCATTATTGCTTACTGTTCACTGTCCATAATGTTGAGCTTACTGTTCACTGTCCATAATGTTGAGCATTGTAATCTGTTTCTTGGCTTCACTTGTTATTTTAGCTCTTTAACTAAGAACCTAATGCTAAGATCACTTTCAGGTTTGTTGTATATATTAGAGAAGGCTGTGGTGTTTGTTGTTAATATGGTTTAATCTCTACCGCTCGTTCCTTCGGAGTCAAAACAGCATGAAAGAGTTCTCTTTTTAGAGAGCTTTGTGAATTTTTGAAGTTCGAGTCGGATGCACTTATATTTGCCGTGCAAATCAGTACTATATAGTACAATTTTTTCTAACTGGTTCTGTTTTTCAGGGTTATGAAAACTTTTTTTGTAATTGTTGTATCACTGGTTGCTGAAATATAGTTCAACTAAATGACTTAATTTCTATTTAGTTTGCTCTCCACGTACTTTTTCTACACTTTTAGATGATGAACCACAACTCCAATTTCTATGTATAGCATATTTCCTTCTCGTGCACGTCATTTTTACTTGTTATTGTTTTTTTTCAGGTCGGGCCTCTGTGATCCAAAACCTTCGATCTTTGGCTACTTGAAGAATGAGCATATATGCGGGAGGCCATTGGGTTTAAGATTTGATAAAAAAACGGGTGATTTGTACATAGCAGATGCTTATCTTGGGTTGATGAAAGTCGGGCCTGAAGGTGGTCTGGCAGAATCATTGGCCACCGAAGCTGAAGGAATTCCTCTGAGATTTACAAATGACTTAGATATCGACAATGAAGGAAATGTTTATTTTACTGATAGCAGCATCAATTATCAAAGAAGGTAGATGTGAAAACTATGCCTAATCATTCGAGAGATGGTAAATAGAGATTTTTTTCAAATTTTTTATTTTTTTTATTGTTTTTAAACAAACTTAGAAGTTAGAACCGACTAATTAGTAGAAAAGTCCATTTCTCTCTTAAAACTTGCACATACGAGGTGTTTGCATTTGTAATATGAGTATATCACTCTCAGTAGGTGTAGTTTGTAATTCCAAATCGTAGCTGAGTTTCTATTATTGTTGGCAATAATATTGATGATTTTTTATGATATTACATTCTCATATCCTTTTGTAATTGGACTAAGCTTCAAGGGTATAGTTTTTAGATGACTTCCAAGTTGCAACAAATGTTATATAGATCCATCATATAATTGATACTTATGACATTTTTTTTTTTTTACTTTTTTCAGGAACTTTCTCCAGTTAGTTTTCACTGGGGACGATAGTGGAAGGGTGCTGAAATACAATCCAAACACAAAAGAAGCAACTGTCCTCATTCGAAATGTTCAATTCCCAAACGGGCTTTCCATGAGTAAGGATGGTTTGTTCTTTGTATTCACCGAGGGTGCAATTGGAAGGTATGAGTATATATTAAAGCGTGAAATTTGAGAATGTATGCATGGTTTTGAGGAGACTCTACCAATCAACTAATGTATTGACTGCTTTTTTACACAAAAATCGAAATATAAACGTTTGGTCATAAATCTAGAAGAAGTGAAACTATTTCTCTTTCAAATTCTCAATAAATGCACGACACAACATATTCTTAGGTTATGTTTGGTAAGCATATAAGCTAGCGTATAACTCATTTGATTAGCTTATAAGCTTCCAGTATTCAATTTGCTTTGGTTTGGTAGGACGAACTTTTTCTAAAAAAGCTCGAGCTTATCCATGAAATTCCTTAGGTAGCTTTTCAGATAAGCCAATTGAAATTTTTATTCCGCTAGTTTATCAACTAATTTTACCAAACAATTTTATCATATAAGCTAGCTTTTTAGTTATAAGTCATAAACTATCTGATATAAACTCAAAATTTACTTAAAAGCTATAAGCTAGCTTGTCGGCTAGGTTTACCAAACATAGGCTAATAGCCGATGAAATTAATGAAAAGTTTGATGACTCGAGAGCTGAAGAAGTCTTTTTGTACTTTTCAAGTGAACATTTTGAGTCTAATTTTGTAAAACAATTACCAAACCTTGAGTGGTATTTGACTTATTTGTAATTAACCTTTAGGAACTTCTTTTATCCCATTCTCACATCATTTTGTTTTGGCTTATAATGTATAAAGGCTGCAAAAGTACTGGTTAAAGGGCGAAAAGGCAGGAACTACTGAGGTTATGGCCATTCTCCCGGGACATCCGGACAATGTCCGGATGAACGAGAAGGGGGAGTTCTGGGTAGCAATCCACTGCCGCCGGACCATATACTCCCACTTCCTAGGACTGTACCCAAAGGTCCGAAAATTGTGGCTCAAGCTCCCGATTCCAGCTAAGTTCCACTACCTCATGCAGATTGGAGGCCACATGCATGCAGCCATTGTTAAGTACAGCTCGAAAGGCGAGCTTCTGCAGATTTTGGAGGATAGAAAAGGGAAAGTGGTTAGAGCAGTTAGCGAAGTCGAGGAAAAAGAAGGGAAGCTTTGGATGGGGAGTGTTTTGATGCACTTTGTGGCTGTTTATGAGTTGGAATGATACAGGAAAGGACTCGAGTATTTTTATCTTTATCGCGCGTAAGTTTTTAAGCTTAAGCCGATGGGGGGTATTTGTTGTTACATGAAGTTTGCTATGTTCTTTTTTTTTTCTTAGTTTTGTGTTTTTGTTCACATTTGGTTTTCTCATGGGGACTTCGTTTAGAGGTTGTGTTGTGGATTTGTTGTGTGCTTCCATAATATATGTAGTGAACTGGTGATGGAGTTTGGTTCTCTAAGACTCTAACATAAATCTAGCAGATGAAACATCTCCATGTTGTTTGCTGGCTCTGGTCATTAGAAAGGTCGAGGATGG